AAGAAGAAGAAGAAGAAGAAGAAGAAGAAGAAGAAGAAGAAGAAGAAAGTTGTCATTGTACAACAAAACTGGATGGCGTATAATATCAACTGTACTAGATACATAGGTGGGTCTTCGCAGCTATTTTGACTGGCAAGGCAAAAGGTAACATTGAGATTGGGAGGGCTAATAGCTGTCTCTCTTTTTTTTAAAAAAAAAATAGCATTGATTAATACAGAAATCCACATTTCTCCACTGCCCCAGGGCAATATTTTGTCCTATGTATTTTTAGTTGCAATTTAGACCTCATTCATTTATGTGTGTGTCCTATATTTTTAGGATAAGTTCTTCCTAAATAGGAATTTGTAAAATCAAGTAATGTAGGGTCTTTATAGTCCAGAAGAGGGCCATCTAACATCAGCTTCTTGAACATTTGCAGCTCTAGACACATTTCAGTCATTGTCATTCCTAATTTGCAACTTTTAGTGCAACAGCCAACTTTTTTTTTTGATGATGATGATGATGATGACAATGCAGAATTATTCAATGAGGGCCTTCCAATTGTGTTGAATTTCAATCTCATTTTCTGCCTTCTAGGCTAAGAATTCTAAAGTACACATTAAAAAAAAGTGAAGCCTTGTTGTATTATAATGAAACAAAATACATCATTCCATATACAGGTTTTTATGATGAGTCCAATATATACATTTTATTAGATATTCAAGTCACTGAAAATCTGGACATTTTCAATGAAATGATGTTTAAACATTTAAATGACAGTTCAGACAGTTGCAGTATAATATTTGGTACAAAGTTGGCAATTACGATATTGAGAATTGCTACCTCAAATGCATGGCAAGACGTTACCCAATAATGAATTGGCATTGAGTTCTAAGTTTTTAACAGCTTGGATGAAATGTGGATGGTATTTCTATTATTCTGAGGTGCACAGCAGTATCTTATAGTGTGGTATCCTGTGAATTTGGACTATATGAATTCACCACTACAAATGCAGTTTCAAGAATAGTTGCCTATCATTTGGATAAACTAAAAAATCTAATTCTTCACAAGAGGTGCCTATATCTCCAAGTTAATATACAAAGCAAGTTATGTACAAAGCAGGTACATGATGAAGAATGGATGACATTTGCCACAAAAAGCAACTATAGTTTTGACAGGCCCCCGGTGCCTCCAAATTGATTCCTCAATTTCCCCTTCTCAATTCAGAGGGAATTCATTACAATACTATTTGCAGAAAGCCAATCCTGCCTCCTGCTTATCCAATAAATATCCCCATTATAGTTTCATCAAATGTGGAAGGAAGGTTACAAAAGTTAGATCTGTTTACTCTGACCTATGGTGTGTTGTATTTATTGAAGTAGCAGGACAGAAGAGAAGAAGTTGACTCAATCAAGATGGCTCATCAAGAGAGAGGCCATTTGGGAAAATGTTACTTCCAAAAAGCCCAACTTTAGATGCTGATAATAGCCTACAAAGTCTAAAGGTCTCAGCCATTATTGTCATGATTGTGTTTTACTGTAATTTTTTTTTTTAACTAGCCAGAAATATACTCTTACATTCAGGAGAAAGTGGTGTAAGGAAAAAAAACCCAAGACAGCAGCCACAATTTACTCCATTTTTCACAGGCAGCACATGTAATAGATTTTTTTTTAATGTATTGTAGGCCAGATGTACTGTCTTCTAGAAGAACTGTATTGTTTGCCACGATAACTAAGCCCAACTAGATCTGTTAGGATGTGAAAAAGAATGCTTTAGGAACATTGTCACCAAGAGGTGGGGTGATGCAGTGGTTCACTCCACAAGTTCAAATCCCACCAGGCTCAAGGTTGACTCAGCCTTCCATCCTTCCGAAGTGGGTAAAAAGAGGACCCAGATTGTTGGGGGCAAGAGGCTGACTCTATAAACTGCTTAGAGAGGGCTGTAAAGCTTTGTGAAGTGGTATATAAGTCTAAGTGCTATTGGTATTGCTACCCTCTTCTAAAAAAAGTGGAAGGCATTAAATCCTGCAATGATCCATCTCAAATCAAATCAACCTTTATTGTC